CAAGATCTCTTTACAGTATTTTTCCTGCTCGACTAGTTTTCACTACATTCTTCATACTGCAGCCCCTAGGAAGGGAGTTTCTACAGCAAAGTTCTTCTCAAGTCTGCTCAGAACATCCCTGTCACCAACAGTGCAATAACTGAAGCTTTTCTGCTTGTCCACCCACTGCTCTTGAACCAACTGCTGGCACAGAGCACTTGAGATGTCTTAGACTGTAGTCATTATTAGATACAGCAAATCAGGAAACAGTCACGTTACATGGTGTTCAAAGGATTGTCTCCATTCACAGAAAAGTTTTCTTTCTGAGCCTTCCCGAACCCTTAAAACTGTTTAACAATGTAATAGACTAGACGCTTTAAAAAAGGTACTGGAACTTCAGTGTACTGTGAACTAAACTAGACCAAGCATTTTGTATTGTGACCCTACTAGTAACTGTTTGTGGATGAAAACTTGATTAAAAGATCCAATATGTTTCCATAAAATCCATGCAATTCCATGCAAAGGTGGTCCGTGATCACTTCAGTGGAAATTCAATTTTTTTTTCTTCTTCAGTCTGTGGCCTATACCCTATTTCTTAGGGAACATAAAGCAGAATCCCCTTTTGCAGTAAATCCTATGGCACCTAATTAGTCTGCAAATTCAACTTTACAACATGTTTGAAGACACACTGGAAATTCTTCTGAAATCTTTAACTATGTCACTAATTTTCATTGCTCAAACTGAGCCGCAAGTTCAGAATATCTAGCTTTCTTGTAACATCAGTACAGCTGGCTTAATGTGCGTGTGTGCACACACAAGAAAAAAAAAAAAAAAATCAGATCCAGGTCAGTTGACATCTAACATTCAGAAAGACCTATCAGTACTTCCCCTCTGATAGTGCTTATGCAACTTGCATTTTGTACGTACAATATCACTCCTAATGTAAGTATACCCTCAGAGCACAACAAAAGATTCTTCTGAATAGAACGAACATACCTGATCCTCAAAACCCCTCATTATTTGCGGCAGACAGCACCTATCCATTCACTAGGCTGAGCAGGACTCTGATCAGTGGAAACCAGGGAGGAACAGAAAACATGCACAGCTCACACAATTCAAAGAACTGGAAGTAGTCGAACTCCTATTCTTCCTTAAAGTAATTAAGGGTCATTACTTGAGATGAGTAAGCTCACATGTATTTGAAGAACAATTGCAGGATCACCACAAAGAAGTTTAAAGTTGCCTGAGAAGACTGCAAGGGAAAACACTCAGGTAGTTACAGCCTTTGCTCTAAAAAAGTCACCCACGTTATATATGACAACATCTGAACAGACTACAGAGACCACGTGAGCCTGAATACAAGAAAATTCTGCCCAGCTAAAACCTAGCAGGATCTGAAAGTGCAACTCAGGCTTGCTTGATTATGCAGCCTATCCTAATCCTTCAGCATATGCCACAGTGAACAAGGTATACATTTCAGTAGCTCAGTGTTGTCAAAAGAGATGTTCTGAAAACCCAATGTGAGTCATCTCATTTCAGAATAGTTTAGGAAAGAAAGCAGAAAAATGTTTGGGTGAGGCCTAAGAGTAATTATGTATTACAGGCTGCTCTACATAGGTACATGTACCTGTTTTTTAAATCCGAAAAACTCCCCCAGCAGCTATCATGTAAGTGCTGAGAGCTCAAAGCAGTAGATTTATCTGTCTTGTCAGCATCATGCTTAATTCCCAAGGAGGAAAAGATTTCCAGACTGGTGCAGAAAGGGCTATGACCATTTTCAGGAGGCTTGTCGCTTCATGCTGAAGTGTTTGAATCCAGAACAAGATATTTGTAGATGCTTCAATCAGTTACGCTTTTACTTAGCTAGACAACTTTATACAGCATAATAAGAACGTGACAGCATACGCCCACATATGCAGCAAACTATCAGCCAGCTACTGCAGTGAACCACCAAAAAGACCACCTTGTTGCAACTTTATGTATTTTCAGTAAGCTTCAGTACTCACACAGGTTGCCTGAGCAGCGACACCTATACTGTTTAATTTACACTGTGACTGTACGAACTCGAGGATTGCAGGTACGTCCAGGCACCGCAGAGACATCCTTACATGCAGGACACTAATGAAAAATGCCAATTACTTCTAAACCAGCAGAAGATAGGACTCGATGCCATTTTTGCTCTAAGAAGGAATGCTATCTACCACCTAAACGTACACATAGAAAGGAAGACTTTTCTGTCTAGAAAAGAGTTTCATATTCCATCTTCCATCGGACACTAAAAACCAGAGACAGCAGCATTTACATCAACAGAATTGTATGCCCTCTGTCTCTCTCAGTAAACCAGTATAACAGTTACCATTAAGCAAGTTGAAGTCCTTCAGACTTTTCAGTCATCCTTACATTCACCAAGCAGCCCCTTACAACTTAGCATAGGACAGCTTGCTGAGGCTTGACTCACAGATTATGATTTACAGTAAAGCAGTGCCACTAGCAAATTTATTAGAAGTTTTAACAAACTCAAGCCAAAATAATAGATTTATGACATCTGAAAGAGAGCAGCTCTTACATTTATCTGCATTATGTACACAAATCATTTTAGAAAAGTCTAAGCAAGACAAGGGAGGGTAAGACAGAAGCATAATCTTAAAGGTTTCTTTACCCAACATCATTATGCTGAGAAACCTGCTTTATAGTACACAACTCCCACTCCTGCTTATCAAAAACCTCTACATACAAGGCTATGTTTCTCGCTTTATCTTGACATACTCTGCATAAACTAATAACCTTGCACGAAATATGCCTTTATAATAGAGATATAGATTACAAGAGGAATTCTTGTGAGTTATGGTTATACTTTTGATTAGAAAATCATTTGCTAGCATGAGACTTGAGGAAGCTTCCTCCTAACTGACCCTGTACAAATACCCATTTTACATTTGTGATTGGAATACTTAAGTTGCTCCCTTATTTTTGCATTACAGCCATTTACTATGCACTTTCTGAAGAAACAATTCCTCATACAAGTTCTTAAACACATTAACTCATTCCCTGTATTCCTATGACTATGCAGACTCGCCACCCCAAAAGAGCATCCAGCTCTCTGATCTTTGATTAGTTTATCCAAATAAAACAAAAAAAAAAGAGGGAGGAAAGGGAAGCTATCCATAGTAAATTTGAATACTTGGTAATACAATGACTAACACAAAGAAGATGTTTTCAACAACTTTGACTTATAAAGAAACCACCCTTATGGCTGAAGCCCATGAAATCAAACTTGCTTCAAGCTGAGGGAATATTTAGATGAAGTAATGGCTACATGTTTTTCTACTTGTTATGATTTTAGACAGCTACGATGGGGATAGGTGGTATTCTGGCCTGACTTGGTAATCTGTTCTTATGGAACACTAATAGTTTTAGAAGTACTTCTATGATTCTACTTATTCCAGAATTAAGTTCTGTAGTTCTCAGAAGTTAAATATGAACACCTGTAAAATTCATCTATAAGGCTTTACCACTTATCTGTAAGATTTCCACTGTGCACAAGAGCAAACCTTTTTCAAAATTAAAACTGTATATATTAGCATGTATGAAATTCACATGCAATTCCATTTATTTATAAATATGCTTGTGAAGTTTATGGAAGAAGTTTTCAACTCACTTATTTCACTCGCAACCTGGTCCAGTTTTTCTTTTGACCTACTGATTAGAGCCACCTTCATTCCACGTCTTGCTAACTGCAACAACACAAAAGAGGAGACATAAGAACAATCATAAATCACTTCCACGTTAGTATCCTAATTAAAGGAATTGCATAATTTGGCAAACATCACAATATATGACCAGCAAGCTTGAAAAAAATTACAATGTTAAATAGAGACATGAAGGGGTAAACCAGGACAAATACTTCCATGCTACTTCTTACTTGATTCCCTTTATGACAAATTTATTATCTTCTCAGTCTTCCAATACAGGTGTATAGGCACAATTATAAAATAGAAAAACAATGGCAGATATTTTATAGAACTTTTACAACACCTCTGCAAGTCAGAGCAAAGAAATTATTACCCACAATTAAGCTTAAATGGCAAGTTATCCATGGTCACTTGCACAACCATGTTGCAAAATTACCTGAGCACTCAATACTTGCTTCCTTTGGTCAGGCTCCACTCTTACTTTGTACTTATCATAGGTATAAAGGTTAATTTACTCATGCTTTTAGGGAAACTGTGTAACGTAAGCTGTGGCCAGAGCATACTCTGGTCATCAAATCAGACCTACCGCTGCAGGTTTGTAATGGGATCTAACAACTCCATTTAAAAGTGTCTGCAGAAAGACAGCTACATACCAGAACCCCTCTGCAATGAAAACAATGTTTGTGACTACTATAAGGCTCTGTTACAGTGAAAAGGTAAAACAATATATCCACAGTTCACAGTGACACTGCCCTTCAGATACTTAAAGCCTACATACAAAAAAAAAAGTAAGTTCTCATGGCTCCAATAAAATTCCTTCACTGCCTTAGGAAGCAGATGAGAATGGGTCTTAAAGGCAATCTAAAAAAAAAAACCAAACAAACAAAACCACAGCACAGTATAGCAAGAACCTAAAGTGACTTAATCTTATCTGCCTTTCTAGCAGACGTATGCAAACCAAGAAAGTTTCAGAGAGAGGTATGGTGAAGTTCGTCAGCAAACTCCGTCTTTCACTCCCATGTGTGATGTCTAAGCAGAAGAAATCTCATACTAGATCTCTCATGAGCTTACAGTGAGGTGTGATGAAACCGAAGACACTCACACTAGGAACGGCTAACAAACCGCTGCAGAGTTCAGGCTTATGGTAACTTACACTTCCTGCCGAAAGAAATGATCTAGTGTTGAGGATGATTGTCTAAAAGTGATGAACACATCCACCTCAAGATAAGCGCCTGGCTCACTACAGGAATAAACTTCTCATAAAGCCAAGCAGTAGGCTCGGAGGGCAGAGGGGAGAACGAAATAACATAATGTTCTCTCATTCCACAGGATCAAGGCAGCAAAGACATATACTTCACATAGAAGTATCTCAGCCTGTGACACCAAGGACAACCTGACAGTAATCTACTCAGTCTGAAACAGCTGTGGTCCCATGGGGCAAAAAAGCCCCGGAGATGTTCCTCACGGGTGCAAGCTCCAGACTGTTGGCATGCAGTTTGCTTTCTTTCAGCAGTCATAACCTCTGGGCTCCCAGATTGCTTAAGTAAGTGCAATTTAAGTGCTTTACAGAAAAGTATCCAGTTGTACTTGTCTCAAAAGCTGAGGAAAAAAAAGCATGCCAACACACCTAGTTAGTGGAAACTCAGCACGTTTAGAGAACTTCCACCACAAGAGTGAGCTTGAAAGTGCTGCTATGTTGACAGTAAAGGGATGCGCTCTGAAAAGCGCATCTGAAATCTGGAAATGGAACCCATTTGCAAGAGGAATTCTCTGAGTACAGAGCACATAAAACGTTCAAGGAAAGAGCCTGTAAGTAAGCACAAATATCACCTAAGAGAAGAAATAAAACTTGGAAAAGATAGAGTGCTCAACAGAAAGTTCAGTTTGAGTCTGATGAAACCAGATCAGTTTCTGCTGAGCCCTCTGAATTCACTGCTGGAGGCCTACTGGGTTGAAAAGAACAACAATAGTCCAAACAGCAATAAGGATCCTCTGAGATCCCAGTAACTAATTACCATTTTTATATAAGGAAGGAGAAAGACCCATTTACTTTGTAGATAACCTGCCATTACACTTGAATCTTTGGCCAATGTCCCTAGGGTCATGAAAAGGCTGGATAAGAAGACCTTAAAACTAATCACAAAAACTCACCCAGAGTAGCAAACATTGGAAAGATGCTTTTGTAGTCTAATGATGGATACAAGCAAGAATTACCATTCTAACAGAGTTGGTGGATGTAGCATCTGATTTCCTTAAATCCCATGTTAGCAACTACCGCATTTTCCACTTTGGTAGCAAAACACTGTTAAAGCCCTTTCTCTCCAAGATCAGTGCATGTCATTGACGGCCCACCAAAGCAGAGTATATACCTACTCTGTTAGAGTAGATATAGCAAGAGGATCTACAAAAAAACAATACCAAGCAGATGTGCATACCAGAGTACTGCAGAGTATGCAACAGGACCACCAACTCTGCGCTCACAGCCCAGAAAGCCATCCTAGGCTGCATCAAAAGCAGCATGACCAGCAGGGTGAGGGAGAGTGGAGTAGAAGGGCAGAATCACCTCTTGACATCCCACCTGGAATACGTTGGGGCTCCAGAGCTGGACGCAGTAAGAAGGACATAGACCAGTTGGAGAGAGTCCAGAGGAAGGCCACAAAGATGATCAAGAGGGCTGGAGCACCTCTCCTATGAACACAGGCTGAGAGAGTTGGGGTTGTTCAGCCTGGAGAAGAGAAGGCTCCGGGAGACCTTATAGCGGCCTTCCAGTACCTAAAGGAGGCCTACAGGAAAGATGGGGAGGGACTCTTTATCAGGGAGTGTTGCAACAGGACGAGGGGTAACAGTTTTAAGCTGAGAGACGGTAGATTTAGATTAGATATCATGAGGAAATTCTTTACTGTGAGGGTGGTGAGGCACTGAAACAGGCTGCCCAGGGAAGCTGTGGAGGTCCCATCCCTGGAAGTGTTCCAGGCCAGGTTGGATGGGGCTTTGAGCAACCTGGTCTAGTGGCAGGTGTCCCTGCCTATGGCAGGGGGGCTGGAACTAAATGATCTTTAAGGTCCTTTCCAACTCTAACATTCCATGATTCTACATCTTTAGTTTTTCACTAGCATACAAGTACATCTGAGATAAATTTAACTCAGGATTTACAAAGGCAAACAGCAAGAGAGGGGCAACAAATAGCAACTCCTGACTGCATCCTTTATAGAAAAAAAAAAAAGAAAAAAGTATGCTGCTTTGGAATCAAAGACATTACCCGGACAGACAAGAAAACCTATATTTACTACAGCCCTCTCTACCTTTCTTGAAGAGGTGGTCTAGTGATGAAAAGGATACCAGTGCTGAGCAAGGAACAAAGACCTTAACACCGCAAGAATGAAAAGCGTAAAAATGCCTCTCTGATTGGAAAAGAAGGAAAGTAACCAACAGGGCAGAGTACAACCAGAGAATCCACAAACTTGTAACATTCTTCCATCACTTACTGGTGACCATGTCAAATTTTTTGAAGAGGCAATTCTCAACACACCGTTATATTTCTCACAAAGTCCTCCAAGAAACAAGTAATCTGCATGATTATAATCACAGCCATCAGTACCCAAGCAGCTGTATGCCAGTGGCATTTATAGCAACCTGATGGGAATTTCTAGTAGAAAGTCAAGCGTCCACTGGTAGTCTTATGAAGACATCTCTAGGGTTAATTGAAAGATTGAGAGGTCTTTTCAGATGTTCCACATTTCACCCTGCATTCACACTGGGCTTCATCAAGTATTCATCATCCACATAAACTGTCGAAGGGTGGACATGTGTTTTATTCTAAATAAATAAATGACAATATTTTTTTTAAAATAGAAGTGTGTTTTATTCTATAGCCAAAAAATGAGTGTTTGTATCCTTTGGGGTACCTTTGGGGTGGTCTGTGCCTACAGCAGAGAAGCTGAAACAGTCGAGTGTTTCCCAGCAGGATCTCATACTTGTGATCAGCTTTCCTAATAGGGGTTCTTATACAGGTTCTTATCTATATATGTGCCTGCAGCACACATTTGTGTTTGAAGGCACCCTGGTTCTCAGAGACACCAGCAGAACATAAAACAAGCTGTAGTTTCACCTGATAATGTAATATATAGATCCTGAAACTCACGTCCCATGATGTTCAGAGGGTTTCTCCCACACCAGAGGACTTCCTCCTGATAGTGCTATGCCCTGGCCACAATGACCTCCTTCCACTTGCTTTAGGCAGTTAAATTTAAGTTTTGCATCATTTACTTCAGTGACGTCTAACTGGGATATTTGGCATGTATAAGGTGTCAGCTGTACGCCACTGCTGGCACCAGGCTTAGTTCCCTTTGCAACCCACTCCCCAACCCAGTAGGACAAGGTGCTCCTTTATGCAAAGCAGAAGGGAACCTGGGGGCCAGGGGTGCGGGTGGCAGAGCACACAGGGATGTAAGGGAAATCTGATGGGCAAGGACAACCTGTAAAGATGAACACTACTTTCTCCATGGGCTCCGCAGAACAAAAAAATCCAGAAAAAGGGAATTTCTCACAGCTGATCTCCTCACACAAAGTCACGCAGGTGTTTCAGAGAACACAAAAACAAGTAGACAGGCTCACTTTGGTACTGATGCTGGAGTTTAAAGTTATTTTTGCTATAAATTGTTGTAGTCAGCACTATTTGTCATGATGTTCTCTGGGCTTATAGGCTAAATTGCCCCATACTAACAGGCACTTTCTGTCTTAAGCAATACATTCCAGTACCATATTCGGAGCCCACGTATCCATCAAGAGCAGAAGCACAGTGAAAGAGATAGAGGTAAAACCCAGCTTCAGAGACTTCATGAACGAGAGGGCATAATTGGAACATACTGCAGGCAGCTAGAAGTGCCATTTAGTCATTGCCTGGAAATACCAAAAGGAAATATCAAGGATTGAGAAAGTTAAAATAATTGTATCAACTAAAAAAGTTAAATAAAAAGTGAAGGGCAAGGTAAGGGCTGAAAATAGAATTCACAAATAAAGGAAACTAACAAAAAGGGATACAACTTTTTGCTGGTCACCTGAGGGAGGCAAGGCAAGAGACCTCTTTCTCCACAGATATCTATGTTAAGATAAGGTGAGGAGATATGACGTGCTGCTTGGCAGAGTTGAGACAGCATGATATCTTGCCAAAGATCGAGATACACTTCCAAGCATTAAGAATTCTTACCTCTTCTGCATAGGCTTTTCCAATCCCATCAGTAGCTCCTGTGACCACTGAAAAAGAAAGACAGATATACATTAGTTGCTTCACAGAAATAACTGCAATGAGTGTTCATTAGTAGGCCATTAAAGTACTCATTCCAGCCAAGAGGCACATCAAGGTTTCTGGAATAGGTGTACAACTTATTAAATCTCTTAGGGAATTTGCACTAAAATCTTTCCATGTGTAAGAAAGGAGAGGAAGAAAAGGAGTTATGAGCCTAACAGTTATTTTAAGAATCACGTTCAGCACCCTTTCTCACACCAGTCCTCTGGCCCACTATGCTTCTTCAGCTTTGCAGACTGAGACAGATTTCTAAGTCATTTAACTAAAAAAACCTCAGTTATGATTATCAAAACAGGGTTTTTTTACTATTAAAATAAAAATTATCTCGAAGCCTGTAAGCATCCAATAAAACAAACATCTCAGTCTCTGTTAGTGACCCTCCAGTAGATTTCAGATCCCTGTGACCATTGTGCTTACCAGCAGCAAGTATGAGTGACTGATGCAGCCATCAGTTGCAAGCTGGGCTTCTAGAGCTTAAACTTTTTCCACCCATGGGTGACTGGGATCTGTGTCAAGCCTCAAGTCTTTCTAGGATTCTTTTCCACATGCTGAGAAACTCTGAGTGACTCAACATGCCATTAGTTTGACAGATTATTCCAGGGCTCTCACCACACCAGTAGCTGATCATCTCAGTTTGCTCACTAAATAGCAATTCCTCCATCCAGAATCTGCTTCTCCAACTGCTTTTTAAGCAAGCACATTCAGCACCACTTCCTTTCTCTCTCAGCTCTTCCTTCTCATCAAACCCAATGCCCACACCTCAACATCCTTACTCATTTAGCTCTCTACTATTCATCTCTCTCTGCTCTCATTCTCCAAGTGATTACAGAATATACCAGATTTTTGTTTGTCCTCATGTCAAATCAGAACAGTGTGGTTTGTGCTTTCACTGCTTACCCCTAAATGTAGGCATGCCTCAAATAATTGGGCTTGTTTAATGTTTCAGAAAACTGAACTGAGAGTGTTGGTTCAACTCTCAGATCAACCTCTACCTGAGTGAAACTCACAGCAGATGGAGGTGTTGTCCGGCACTGGGATTCAGCATTAACTTCCCTTCGGGGCACCAGAAGGAGATGTGTTTGCAGATGATTTGATTAGTCACTGCTTGCAGATCACCCATAACAGTTGGCATGCAAACAGCAGCCAGAATATTTCTGTCTGAGTAATAACAGCTAGGAAATGCTGTAACCATTTCAGTTTCTGTGCCTGCTAGCTATAAATAAGTGGACGTAATAACAAGTGATGAAGCCATCAGTAAAGGTCCTATTTGAGCTTGAATGGCCAGCCAACAACGCAGCAATAGGCAAAGAATGAAAGATACAGTCATGCCCCTGACTTGAGCTAGATTTACAGATGACCATAGATGAAGGTACATACACATACATTTATCCCTTCCCCGATTTCAGGGTTTATTTGCAAGATGCCATAGCTCCAGTGTGGTAAGGATATGCATGACTGTACACACAGGATGCTCTGGCTAGTAAACAGAGTTCTAGCTGCTGCATTGTCAGCCCCAGTGTATTTTATTGAGAAAGCCAAGTGTCTGTGTCACGCTGGTTTGCCAATTCCTATCCAGCCGCTATTAGGGAACTGTGAGTAACAGTTTTATTATAGAAACAAATCCACACATAGAAAGGTCAAGCGAGGGTCCAAATGATGAAAAAAGCAGGCCTTGGGGAAGAAATCAAGAGTACATTCCCAGGAGCAAAAATCTGTACTGGTACCCCTCCCCGTTAGGCTTACAACAGTAGCTGGACATGTTATAAGCTGACCCAATCTGGAAAACATTCAACTTCAGTGACTTGGTGAAAGGGGTTATTTCCTTCATTATCGTTAGTGAGGTACCTAGAGAACAGCCATTCCCTCTAAGGCTTATAAATTGTTTCTTCTCCCCCCAACTCAAAATTCATGGACTTAATGGTTTTATTCCCAGATAATAAGCTCAGCATTTTAAAATATTGTTTTCTGATACTGTGAGTTGTTCAGCTTCTAGCAACTACAGCTGAGAGCGTACGCTCTGTAAGGCAGGGACTCAGAAAAGCATCTGCAGCACTTTAAAGGCTTAGTAGACTGCAAGTACAATTTCAGTCAAGGATATTTAACTCATTTATTGAATGCACTGCTTAAGTAAATTGTAATAGAATTGGCTGGAGCATGAGACTCAAGAAGCTGAAGACCAGGGATTTCTAACTGAAGTACAAGTAACAGGACAGTTCCTCCCTTTTCAGGCCCTACTTCAAATTAAAACAACCTGTAATCCAGAGGTTAAAGTATCTCTAAAACAGAACCTGAGAAATTTAAATAAGACTGGTATAGATAAATGACGAAAAGCATTATAAAACCTCACCAGGAAGAAAAAAGTGTTTGAGCCATCACCTACACAAATGGGCACCTAGGTGATACACATTGTTGCTTTGCTTCTGCTGCAGGTAAAGGCACAGGCATCCAAATAAAGTAGACAGCTAGCTTTTCTTAGCAATAAGAGAATTCTCTCTTCACAAGGAGGCACTAATGCCATCAATTTTATTGGTGGCTCCACTTTGAGAGGGATAACTTTGTCTCCTGCTCTGTGCTCCCACACCACCTTGAAGAACAGCCCCAGTACGAAGGCTGCTTTCCAATGTACAGCCTAGAAAACACTGTTTTTTCAGGCCACGCTTTTCTTCCTAAGGCTTTTCAAGAGAAGGCACCTGGCTCAGCTCTCACCCACTCTATGGAAATTAGTTTCCCATCAATGGCTCCACTGGTGTGGAGGCTGTTGAGGTCAGCACCAGAGGACTGAGATAGGAAACATGCACTAATGCAGACCTGTCCTGCTACTGACCAGTAGCACCCAGTTCAGCCAGGCAGCTGCAGTTACTGCCCATTTATGGGACTCCAGTGAGCAGTTTGCCGGGTCAGGAAAGCTCCCCAGACAGATACCTGCCTGAGAGAAGGTGTCTGAGTCGTACTGCAGAGAGCAATACTTACACCCTACGTTGTAAAACAAGGAAAAGAGTTGGGGTAAAGGCAACCGATTGGACCAATATCACAAGAGTCAAGATTCAACCACCTTATCTTCCTCCATGTTTTGGATTACCTAAAGTGTAAATGTTTTGGGGAAAGGGGAGAACGATAGAGAGGCTTTGGTAAGACTCCTGCATTAGCAAGGCACGTTTTTCATATTGATTACATTCATCTCTAGTTTCCACTCCAGAGCCAAGCGTTGCAGTTCTAGCCACCCCAGCTACATACAGAAGCTGTGCCAGCTTAACTAGATTTTAACTATCGCCCTAATGTGCTGAAGCTAGTTTAACTCCAAGTGTGGATTAAGCTTTTAAATTCTGTTTCTTCTAGTCTGTAGAAGCCTTCCAACAAAAGTTGAACTGACTGCAGTTGGCAGAGCTTAAAGAAGGCAAAGCAAGTAGGGTAGGAATAAGTTATTGTCTGTACAAGAAAGCTGCACCAACTCCTAAGTGTGATTATACACATTTACTCAGTAGTCAGACTAACTGTAGTAACTTCCCACTTCAGCCATCTGCTGTCGCCAGAAGAGAAGTGAGAAGAATGCCCAGACAGCTCGTGTGTGAGCCCATCAAATAAAAGTTTGTCTGAATGGAAGCTTGTATTGAAGCACTGGCTGAGCTGAGGCAAAGAAGTGAACATCCATCTTCTCGTGACTTTTGGAGCTGTAGAGGAAAAGGGGAAGAAAAATAAGGAAAGGTATCCAGTAACATGACATACTCTGAAAACAGCTCACTCTTAATAAACCAATATATATGCACTTGTGTTGGTTGGAGATGTTCTATCTCAGGAAGTTGCCACTAATCAGAGTTCAGCATCTCTGGACACAACGTATTTCACAAAATAATTAGGCTGCACCCTGAACAGATTTTCATCTCCCTACATGTTTTTTTTGAAACTAGCAAATGTATAAGTACAGAGGCAACAGGTGCAAGCCTACATCATCTTTTCTCAGCTCTGAAAAAAACCTTCCCAAAGACTCCTTTTCCAAATAAGAGTCCACAAAGCCTGGCCCTAGTGGGTCCAGCACACTGAGAGGAACGTCTCTTGCTCTTCTATGTAATGACACTTTCTTGACTGGGTAAGACTGGCGTAATCATTATTATAAGAGGTTACATATGTATGTACGGGTTTTATCCTCTAGTCCCAGCTTTCATTTCAGTTGTGCACAGTCTTATTTATCGCTTCCAACTGACCCCATACTGTTCAAAATGGTAGACAAGAAGTGGGAAACCTGGTAAAACATTTAAAATCACCATTCATGCTAGCCACTAGCATACACCATGTAACTATAAGCATCTTTGAACGCACCAATGCTTTGGATGCAGCCTTGCTAAAGTGTAAGCGCGAAAAGAGAAACTTCCAATGTAGTGTCAAGGTCTCCAAACAAAGAAAGCAGTATGGGCCATCATCTGCTCACACCACTGGAGGAGGTTACACCATATGTAGGCTGTAGATCTTTCAACTGCCATTTTATATATATATATGTCTGCACAAGAACTCAGATCAGCAGTTAAATTTTTAATTACAGTATTATCCTTAACACATCATGGAATTATTTCTATAGATCACCAAAATCGCCACTTCAGGACAGTATACCATCTTTACCTTAGAGACTGTGCCAGAATTTTGCTTCCTATATGGTGTGAGGAGGGAAGAAAAAGAAATAAGTAAATAAATCACTTTTCCACTCCTGTTTTGAGTTTACTTATACACCTTTGATCTCTTACAATGATCTCTTTAATTTAAGATACAGCTACACAGGAATTCACCATAGCCTCTACTACTGGACTAGTTATTGATAGATGCAACTCACTAATTTTCTAAACCTGAATACCACCTAGCCACTTTGCCTCCTAATGTTTCACACGGTGTATTTCACAGCTTTTGCCACATATACAACTTATATGATGCAGTTCATAAGCATTGGCATCATCTCCTGTCCAGTATCTAACTCAAAGCAACCCCTGACAAACACAGGGGAAAGTTAAACGAACTCAGCAGTCAGTGAGATATGTGGTCTTGCAGTAAAAGGGAACAGCTTTCCTGTTATTAAAAAAAACCTATGAAACACGTTGTGTAACCAGCCAGTGACTTCTGTCTATTAGATTAATATGCCCAGTGGCACATGACTTTAGGGGATAAAAATGTAGACTCTTCTCCGGAAGGCTTACAGAGGGGTGAACATGCAAATGCTTCCAACAGCACCTGCATCCTTCTGAAATCCCACAGCCCGTGGCTAAACACGCACAGGGTAAGGTACCACCAACGGTGCGGGGAGCTCACACGTTTTTTCTGTTTGCAAGAAGTAACAGTCATTGTCTTCCCAAATAAGAGGTCACCTAGAAAACATCCACCACCTCCTAAGAGGTATACTGGATAAACATTATCTGCTGTTCAGAAGAGGACTACCATTCTACAGCCAGGCAAAAGCAGCACCCAGCAAGCACGGCAGTCTGTTTTATGAATGAAGTGAATATTCAAGGCCCAGAAAGAACACTTTAATCTGCTTCTTATGCAGCCAACACACCTTAAAACAAAAGCAAAGAATGGTGCAGTAAAGCATGAGGCAGGCATGTAGAAATCATCTCGTCTCACGACAGGAGCAAGGACCAGCATTGACACAGGGAGAGGGAGCAAGAGCAAGCATAGAAAATTCTACTGCAGTTCTGCAGAGCAATCACGCTGAAACAAGATTATAGATTCGTGACTCCTCAATTCAAGGTTAGACTACAGTGAAGATAAAGCTTAAAGAGATCAAGCCTGCCTTCAGATACAAACACACGTTTTCCACAGCAAAATAAGCTTTTGAGATGCCTAATGGAGATAAAGCATGAAATACTTTTATCCATGTTGCTGCTAGCAAGCAGCATCAGGCATACTCCTTGCACTGCTTTGACTACCTGCACAACGAAGCTAACAACTATTATGCATGTTCTCTACTAGCCTCTTCCAACTACAAATTTTTTTCAGTTCAGCCATTTTCCTGTTTTCGTTAAGAAAAGCATGAGGTTTTAGGCAATCTTTCAAAGTATTGCAGATGCACTCATGCACATCATTACCTAGGAAGGAGAACTCAAGCCACTAACAATGTTATTCCCCCTAGAAAGATGTGGGTCCAGCAATTTGGGAATACCTATACTCTTCCTGCCAAAAAAATTAAGCTAACAAACAGATCCCAAGGCGGGCAGCTCAGCTACATTTCTGATCTGCTAAGAGGCATTGAAATTTGTTGTCAAAATGGCCCCTGCAGAGCTAGTCTGTCAGCCACATCCTCCATTCACACAGAAGAGCTGTCCCTGTCCTGCAAGACTGAATCCAGATATGAGTGAGGGTCTGGCACGGCACGGCACCCAGCTGTAGCAGGCATCAACATAAAAAATAAACGAGGGACCTAACGTGTCTTGTTAAAGCAATGCAGTTGAGAGAAACTCCATAGCACGGCTAACCTTAGCATAGGTTTAAAGTACAACACATAAATAACTGAAGACTCGAGATTCTTCTGCTACGAAACACGCAGGCTATATTAAGAATATGACAGCTCCTGGGAAAAACAAAAGCTGGCAAGGGGAGAAAAGACTATCCCTGCTTGGCATCAAGTAGTGCTTCATTTATTACAGATTTATATAAATCACTGGCATTTGACCAATACCAAGCTTCTAGATTATCTCCAGCCAACAAAAGTACTTTAGTCTGTGGTGGTTAAAAATATTCTACTTTTTGTCCTCAGCTTGCTAGGAACGGCTATTTTTAGTAAGAGCCCAATCAACCTTATCAAAATCAAGCATCAAAAATAGACTGGAGAAACACTGGAAGCAAATACTA